GTAAACTGCAAAAACTCTGTTACTGTCAGACAAACCCTGTTTTAGAGTCATATTTCTTGGTTTTATTCACTTTTAGCTTGCTTCACTTCATAATGTTGCTGTTTGAACCTGAAGAATGACCTGCAAAGTTACAATGTCAACTCAAACATCAGTCTTTCTGTAAATCAGTAAACACTGAACATCCTTAAACACCTTGATTGTAGTCCTGAGGTTTCTCCGTGAAATGAACACATCATAATATCCCCTATTTTATTAGTGCGTGTCTACATTGTAAAAATATCCGTTAATTAACAGGTTCCGTATTTCATGATTTAGTTTTTTTCTGTTTATTTAAAGTTGTGAAATGTATTATGGGATGTTAAACTGTGTCGACACCTCATGATGAAAATTCATCTGTGCATTTTATCAGTGACTATTACTAAACTGTAAAAAAAATCCGGGTTGCCTTAAATCTTTCAAATGAATCAAATGAACCTTATGAGTCCATTGAACTTATGTTAAACTGACTTAAAACAGCTTGCGCAACTTAAAAAATTAATTTAGAGCATGATTATTTAGTTTAATAAGTTACAATGAACTAAAAACATATGCTGTCAGGGCTAATTGTTCATATAACTTTTTACAGTGTAACCTTTTAGTGGGTTGAATTAAAATATTGTATAATAAAAAATTTTGTAGAGAAATAATTAAGTAATAATTGCTGGGAGTTTATTAGTAGGTTTTTGTATCGCAATTTACAACACCAACCAAGACAATACATCACATCAAACTCTTAAAAGTCACCTTTTCAAACTTTTCAATTTCAAAAGAATTGAGGAAAGATCAAGGTCCCACAGTGCAATTAAAAAGCATAAGTAAATTAATAATAATAATAATAATAATAATAAAAAACATGAATCACAAAATATGGAAAATCTATGACATACACTCTTTAAAAGAATCTAAAAGTAAGGTTTAGCAGCCATGACACAGAAAAACCATTTTGCATTCTGCAAAAATATTTTAGTGAATCTCTTTTAAAAATAAAGGTTTTAATAAGTTTGAGGAAAATTTGAATATGTAAGAACTAGGGATGCTTCAATCAATCGGACAGAGATCAGTATCGGCTGATAACCACATTTCATGAATCGATCTGTACTCGCTAATCTGGCCGATCTCATGAACCGATCACAATTGTTTGTTTACGAGTTTAAAAGCAGAGGACATATAAGAACTGAAATCATTTTACATGTCAGAACTGAATGTTCCTTGTTTTTAAATTGCAAGTTCACCTGGTTAAAAATATTAGGGAAATTAAAAACCTAAAAAAATATTTTTTTGTAGAGTATTTAATAATATAATTTATTGTAATATACTAATTGTAAGCAGTAGTTTTGTGAACCTATTTCATTTTAGTAAAGAAGTAATGGATTCATAGGTGTGCATTTTAATTTTTTATGCAACAAATATGCACTCCAAACTTTATTGATTATATTCTTCTTCCATCATTTGCAATATTTCCAAATGGCTTTATTAGTGATTTTTCTTACTGACTTTTGTATCTGTTTTATCTATTATTTTCTGTAAAACTGCTTGTGACCAATACATGTATCTCAAACCAAGGAAACCAATTGCAACAAACCATTTAAGTTCAAAAACTAATCCTAATGAGTACTGTGAACTTAATCCATTTGAGTTAGCGAAGCAATTTCAGCGCAGGAACCCAATAACTGAAGAGAACTAAAACCAACTGAGTACTGTAAAACCAATAAGTTAATACTCAAACCATTTGAGGAAACTAATTGCAACAAACCATTTGAGTTAAAAAAACTAATCTATATGAGTACTGTGAACTTACTCCATTTAAGCTGAGTAGAATTAGCTTTCAGTCAATTTTGAGTTAACTACACTTATTTCATTTGATAAAGTTTTGCACTAAATGGTTATAAGAGATACTTTAAAGTAATCTTTCATTTATTCTCTTAGGCAAGATCTCCACTTAAGTATCTTGGAGGGAAAATGTGCTTTATGCATTATAAAGCTTGAAGCATCAGAATCTGTTCTTGGTATTGGATGATCACCATGACAAGGAATTGGTACTTGGTTTTCGCCGCAAACGTCCTGATCGTAGCATCCCTATTAACAACATTTTTCCACTATAAAGAACATTTTATGGAATTAAATGGTTCCATGAATAACAAATGCTCCTCCTCGAGCCCTCTTTGCGGTTAAAGAAGCAATGTTTTAGAGAGAAAGGCATGCACATACAGAGCAAGAACTGGTTGAGTTGCTTTAGTATTGTTGCTATGCCAGTAGAGATGCTTGACAGATATTGTCATGGAATAATAAATGATCCATTACGCATAGATTCTAGGGACACCTGGGACTTATATTACATCATGTGAGATATTACATGTTATAATGTCAAATGATTTAGTTATGTAAAATAATAAGGCCATCACAAGCTAAATATGAACTTCCTAATTAGAAAATGTACTGTCATGAAAGGCATCTTTAGCTGCATTTAACTAAAGAGGCATTTGGAATAATGCAGAGATAATAAAGTGTGTGTTATTTGGAGTTATTTGGAGTGTAATTTAAACAGTTATATATATTTACCAGCAGGCGATTTATACATTTATGGGAGGTGTTGGGGGGATATTCAGTGTATTGTGATCTACAATTACCTCTGATTAGCTATTTCAGAGATTACATTATAAGACTAATTATGCTAAGTTCGCATCTATCTTGTGAACACTTCCGATGTCTATTAGTGCTCTAAATCTGACAGTTTCAGACTGTTGAAAGAACCGTTTTTCACAAGTATAAATAAACATTTGATACATATATATTTAGCAAAAAAATTATAATTTATTTTATATTTCAGAATCCTCAACAAGCTGAATATGTAGATAGCGTAGTAAATGTAAACAATAATTCAACTAATGTTTGCCAAAATGGGATGCTATATATTGATTTCATTTATTCCATGCGGTTTGAGTTTAATTTCTAGTTTAGCTTTTATTAAAGCACAAGTTTAGTTGTGACTTCACTTCAGAAGTGGGAAAATAAGATATATATTTATTCGTTTATTTTCTTTTCGGCTTCGACACACATACACTTCAGCTAATTTAACATGCAAACTCCTCACTGAAATGCCAACTGAACCAGCCATGGCTTGAACCAGCGGCGTTCTTGCTGTGAGGCAACAGCGCTATACCCACTGTGCCATCGGGTTGCCATAAAATATATTTATAGATATAAAATATGGTGGATTAACTGTAGCCAACAGTTTGATCACTGTTTATACACTTAGGTGTGGTTTCTTGATTCTGAATTAATTGTGAAAGCGTGTATAATAAAAGTGCTTTTGATTAGATTTTGTCGGTCATGTTGAGATGGACTTCAGGTCAACATTAGAGTGCAAAATTCATTCTATTCTCAAAGAGTACGCACACATCTTCTTAAAACAACACTATCTTACTTTTAATGCCCAACAAACATATACAATGAATTTAGTCAAACTAACAATGTTCTACTTCATTATTTTTCTAATGTTAATGCTCATTGTAACAAAATGCAAGTTATTGTATTATTCATTCATTTATTTTCTTTTCGGCTTAGTCCCTTTATTAATCTGGGTTTGCCTTGCGGAATGAACCACCAATTTAACCAGCATATATTTACGCAGTGGATGGCCTTCTAGCTGCAAACCCATCACTGGGAAACACCCATACCCTCTCATTCACACACTCATACACTACAGACAATTTAGCTAACCCATTTTACCTATAGCGCATGTCTTTGGATTGTGGGGGAAACCGGAGCACCCAGAGGAAATCCACACCACCATGGGAGAACATGTAAACTCCACACAGAAATGCCAACTGACCCAGCCAGGGCTCAAACCAGCGAACTTCTTGCTATGAGGCGATCATGCTAACCACTGCGATTCCCAGTTATTGTTTTACTGATGCAATATTTTTTTCTGGCTTTGTAATCTCCAATCAGCACAATCAGTATAACAACATTTTACAACAGACATCAGAAAAACTATAAGGTGAATGAGGAGACTGATGTGACTCCAGAATGATAAACAATGCTTTTCATTCTTCGGAAAAGTGAAGGGAGGCCCGTTTTAACCACGGAAAATTTTGCTAATCTACTGACAAATCAATCGGTTCTTTCCAGGTGGTTTTTATAAAAATTCCATTCCTTAAACAAAATAAATAAGCACACACACATACAAAATAGGTATTTAGGTGAGTTTTCTTTTAAGTAAAAAAGGACATTATTTTTTAAGATGGAATATAAATGTACATATTTAATGCTTACTTATTGTTTTAAACAAACAGCACTGAATACAGAATCAAATCTTAAAGCAGAATTTCACCCCCCCATATAAAAGGTACACAATGACAGCATGTGTTGGCACTATCACTCGCACAGGACTTGCAGTGACTTGCCCGAAAAATATTCTAGGGGTGAAATGCACTGATAACACACTGTCTTTGTAAATCTCAGAGTACTGTATTGCTCTGGTAAAGATTATCATATAAAATAAACTGAATTAAACACCTAAACATTGCTTTAGAAATGACTGTGAATCAGCCATCTTGAAGATGCAGTCCTCTGATATGCTCAAGTGGTGAAAAAGAGACTGACAGACAAACTAAGAAGGTGTCAAATCCTCAAAAAGAGGAAATGTTAGCGATAAGTCTTGTTTTCTAACTAAATAGAAAGAAAAAAACATTATTCTCCAAATCATGAATGTAAAAATGCACTCTCCTGTTATTGCAATCATCATTGGCAAATACTATGTTCAATTTTCGATATGTTGTCATTTAGATTGTGAAAGATGCAGGGCAGGACACCCATCCCTCAGAACAGTTTAAGCAAACGGCACTAAAGGCACAAATGTTCACACTTCTCTAAATGTTCAATATACCACACCCAACAAACACGCACTCACACATCTACACACAAACACTTAACAGCAAAATAGTGCAGACAAAGCACAGAAACCAACAAAAAAAAAGTCAACAGACGCTGTTCACAGCTTCCCATTACAGCCGGGCTTCTCTTTTTGTACTTCAGCTTCAGATAATAATTAATATATAAACAAACAGATTCTTGCACGTTTTTAATCTTTCAGCTGCAGCTTCTCTCGCCCAGATGCAGAGAGTGATATGACATCTTCAGAGGGAGGAGAAACGAATGAGGGCATGTAAGACTGAAAGAGAGGAAGAGAAATTAACAGGATATAGGTGTGCACCGCATGTATGAGTGTGTAGATTTGTAGATGTGCAGTTTGGTGTTGGTGGTGGTCGGAGCTTGCAGTGACTTTACTCTGAAGGTAAGTGGAAATCGCATCGCACATATTCATAGCAGGACAAATTGTAACCAGTTTGTGGCTGTGATGTTTTAAGGTGTTTAAGGAGAGGTAGACCACTCAAAAAGGAAATTTAAGCAAAATTACACTACATTCAGCTTGGGGAAATATCAAATGTCATGCTGTCATTCAAATAGCCCTAGAGTAAATGTGTTAGGTGTGCACTGAACAAGCACATACAGTATACCTCTATTCTGGCAATCACAGAATGTATAGCTCATCTGGTAGGTAGAACATTTCAAACCTTTGAATTCAAAGTCTTGGGGATCAATCCACAAGAAAGTCACTTTGGATTAAAGCATCTGTTGATTTAAATCAATTAAATGTTATTTAATGTATTTAATTCTGACTACCTAAATAAATAGTTTCTTGCACACTCACAACCACAAAAAAAGACTGTGAATAGAGGCTGTAGAAATTCACTTGTGCCATTACTTTAATATTTTACATGTATTAAAACATTAAATTATAAAAAATATTTCTTGATATTATTTTTGATCAAGTAAACGCAGTCTAGATTCCTATAAGTGATTAACTTATAACAAAATACAAACACCCAGCCAACCCTTCACTTCTTAATATAAAAAATAAGGTAACACTACAATAAGGTTAATTAGTTAATGCATTTACTAACATGAACTAATCATAAACAACACATGTACAGCATTTATTAATCATAATTGAACATTTACTAATGCATTATTAACATACAAGTCCATGCTTGTTCACATTAGTTAACGCACCATGAGTTAACATGAACTAACAATGAACTACTGTATTTTCAATAACTAACGTTAACTAACATGAACAAATACAGTAGTAAATGTATTGTTCATTGTTTGTTCATCTTAGTAAATGCATTAAGTAACATTAACTAATGAACCTTATTGTAAAGTCTGACCAAATATAAACTTAACCAATTAAAAATATGTACATTACAATCAAATATGGGTGATTATTTGGTTACTAACTGTCTTTTTTGTCTTGTGTCTTTTTTACAGTAATGTCATTTCAAAGCTGATATCCCTCGTGCGACACTAAAAGACAGAGAGAACAAGAAAGGGGAAGAACAGGGCTGTGTTAAACTTTCCGGTCCAGATACACGCTAGATTACCTCAGCAAAACACCAAACAAGCACAAAATAAGCAGAATTTGTTTGGTTGACTACTTTCTATAAATGAGTCTGGATGCTTTCTGCATTTTTGATCACATTCACAAGCCTCAAAAGTGGATCATCAAGAACAACAGCAGCTCAGCTGAGCACATACTTCATACAAGCTACTACTTTGAACGGCTTTCCATCCAGCGTGCACATCATGGTGCTCGTCTTTAGAAATCTGCTACTGTTTCTTGCTCTCTGGCCCTGTTTCAGGTCCACCAGTGCACAAGAGTTTGCAGTGACAGATGATAATATCACCACCGCATTACCTGATAATGTCACTGTGGAGGACACAACTGTTCTGTCATCATTTTATCATGTCACTGATGAAGCGATCAGTTCTGCACCAGTAGATCTTGTCACAGATGTACAGACGGAACCAGACACATATGATCTGCAGACCACACTTGCGAGCACAACAGGCACCATGCAGGAGACAACAACTATGAATACTACACCCCTCGGCCCTGTTATTCAACAAACAACACCAGAATCTGCTCCTGAAACAACGGCAACAGCTGAAATTCAGCTGACCACAATGACCAGCATTACTCTGCCTGTTTATATGGAAACATTAATGACTGAACAGAAAACTCCAGAAGCCACAACCACGAGTCAGTTTGAAACAACCGTTTCCTTCAATGTGCCAATGCTGACCAGTCCTTCAGAACGTCCAACAGATTTCATCACGACACGAGCTTTGGCCATGATGACGTTTGATTCAACAGAAGATCCCTCAACCAATATGATTGAACTTCCTACACATGAGGTTTCAAACAAATTGTTTGACCTTGTGGACAACAGCACGACAACCCCCACTGAAACTCCAACATCCGCTTCACAATTGACTGAAAATGAGCCTATTATAAATGGAGTGTTACATGACAACACAGTCTCTGAAGATTTCATGCCTGTCACAAGTGTTGTTAACGTTAAGCAAAGTACTTCTCATGAAGAAACCAACTGGTTATTAATAATCATAGTGTGTGCGATCGCTGCTTGTGTGCTATGCGTTATCGTGATACTGTTCATACAACAGCGAAAGAAAAAGGCCTCTCGGACATTTGGCCCAGCCTATATGAATGGACAAAGCAAACGGTCTAAGAAGAAAAAAGGGGCGGAGGATGACAAGTGGGCAGGGCCTGTGAATCTGGAGGCGGGAGCTGAATGTGATGCTGACGTCCAGGAGGGTCTTCTGCATAACGATGAGAAAAAGGACGGAGACGATGTGGTGCTCAGTACATTCGCCACCATGGATGAAGATGCCATGTCTGATGGAGGAGTGGGTGGAGAAGGAACCAAAGAGGCTAAGAAATGGGAGGAGCAGGAACCTATGCCTTTCATAGATGAAGATGTGGATGAAAATAAGGTGGGAAAAACACTGTCCGAAAATGGGAGTTCGAAGGGAGACGGGAAAAGTGAAGAGAACATGAATGGAGGAGAAACGTTCTGTCTTACCACGGCTGTCTAAAAGTCTTCTGGGAATCTGTATCTTGTATGTGTGTAACGGTGCCATAAACACGGACTATATCTTACAAATGTGTATATATTATTTGATTATCATGCTGATTCTGTTTCAGATTTGTGTATAATACTGAAAAGCACAGGTGACAAAACACTCAGTAGTGTGAACGTATGAGGTACAAATCATCAATTTTTAAAGCTAGCATCTTTCTGTTGACTAATACAGTGAATTACCTTGACCATCTGAATGATTAGCCAAATTTCCATTGGAAAATCTAGCAGTTGTGTCATTTGCTATTGAAATTTAGCAAACAATAGAGGGGGAAATGTTCCCAACACTCAAATACAAAATGTCTGAATGAATTAGATTTATAATAAAAATGCATCTATTCAAAATGTTTGCTATCGATGTGGACTTCACCTGCTTTCTCCCAGTTCACACAGGGATGAGATTAGTGACAACACAAGTATATTTACTAATTACAGCAGACAATGTTAATCTTCAAAATAACCATGCAGCAAAGATTTTCTGACATTATGAGAATGAATTCACAAAATATGCAATCAAATGACCTAATATATAGAGGGAGTTTCTGACTTTGATAGAAATTATGTGTGTAATTGAATTAAATCCATTGAATTTTAGTAAAGTGTTCTTTTTTAAAGAACATGGGTTAGGAAATTTAAAACAAGATATTTATTCTGTTTCATTACCAAGCTGTTTGTGAATGCAAAAGTTCTGCCATACTAAAATTGCATCAAAAAGATACTGTCACCTAAAACAGCGAAAAATAATTCTGACCAGTTCCAGTTTAACGTTAATAACTAATCTATGTAGATTCATACAAATTTGCATATACATTAATGAACTGGCAGTATTTGCTAACTACCAGTAAACAAGGTCTGTTTTTACACTTCCTGGGTCTATTGACACATTTTAACTTTTGTGTCAATGACATCACTGTTGCAAATGAAACATTTATTCTAGTGTGACTTACAAAAACTCCTGCTATCGTCACTGAATGAATATGTTGCATTCCGCTGTGGTGAACCCAGACTAATAAAGGGAGTAATCCAAAAAGAAATTGAATGAATGAATAATTGTTGGGGTGATATTGTAGCGAAGTGCTTCTAGCATAAAATATAATAAAAGGCAGATATTCAGTCACAGATATTGAATTATCTAATGTAAAACAACATTAAACACTAAATAAACCAAATGCAATTCATGTTTGTTAATGCTGTTAAAAAAGCAATATCTTTCACGTGAATCATTTAAAGTCACTTGTTTATTCATATGTTTACACAGTAACAGACCATTAAACCACATGCCACCTTTAACTCCAATATGGTGAAACTGTTATTAAACCACAAATCTCATGTATTCCAAAATGTAGTGCCTGTGAACTGCAGCAATGTGACTATTGGATGCACACACTGTGATGTTCTGTTGATACTGTGCAGCCAAATTAATGTATAATGTATTTAAACCAACGATCAAAATTTTTTTGCCATGTTTTCAAACTATTTAACAAAAATTAGCTAAAACTAGGGCTGCACAATATATTGTTTCAGCATCGATATATATCAAAATGTGATCATTCGCAATAGTCACATCGCAGGATGTGCAATGTTGAGTTTGTATTACAATATGTCATTTGCATGTGTTTTTGAGGCCTTTGACTATAATGACTTTAAAAGGCATAAGAAATTGTATCATTTTGTATTTTTAATAATGATTAATTTTCCAGAGTTATTTTATCTTTATTATTCAATTACAGTGCTTAAATTATTTTAAGACTCAGATAACGTCACAACACTCTATATTTTAATTACATCATGTTCTTTATTGTATTTATAGATTGTCTACTAGATTTTATGCAGATGCACACTGCAGAACCATCCCAAATCCATCTAAAATGATCAATTCTTTCCAACTAGAAATATTCAAGTCATCTGGTGAAATTGTATTGATATCACAACTTATATCACAGAATAACAAAATATCACAGTTAGATTTTTCCAATATTGTGCAGCCCTATAGCTGAAACTAGACAAATCTGGAGATTTTTTGGGACAACTAAACCGTTTTATGTTCAATCCACTTAAATTCGTTAAGTTACCTTAATTGATCTGTGTTGGGAAAAAATGAATGAATTGTGTGGAACACTGAATTTTTTACAGTGAAGAAAACTTATTTAACAGATTTAAAACTACTCTATGCCTTTAAGACTTCCTTACCCATTTGTGACTTCATATCTCAGTGTGAGAAGAGATCCTTAATTTAGATAGCTACAGATAAATTTTTTATTTTTATATCTAACACACATGCTGCATTTGGGTGATGCGGTGGCACAGTAGATAGTGCTGTCGCTTTACGGCTAGAAGGTTGTGGCTCGAGCCTCGGCTAAACCAGTTGGCGTTTTTGTGTGGAGTTTGCATGTTCTCCCTGCGTTCGCATGGGTTTCCTCTCAGTGCTCCGGTTTCCCCCACAGTCCAAAGTCATACGGTAAAGGTGAATTGGGTAGGCTAAATTGTCCGAAGTGTATGAGTGTTAATGGAAGTCTAAGAACTGTATGGATGTTTCCCAGAATTGGGTTGCAGCTGGAAGGGCATCCGCTGCGTAAAACGTGCTGGATAGGTTGGCGGTTCATTCCGCTGTGGCGACCCCGAATTAATAACGGGACTAAGCTGAAAAGAAAAATGAATGAATAACATGCTGCATTTTACTTTCACAATGTTCAAAAAGGGTGACACGATGGTGCAGTGGTTATTACTGTTGCCTCACAGCAAGAAGGTCACTGGTTTGAGTCCCAGCTGGGTTAGTTGCCATTTTTGTGTGGAGTTTGCATGTTCTCCCTGTGCTCCGGTTTCCTCCACAGTCCAAAGACATACGCTATAGGGGAAATGAATAAACTAAATTGGCTGTATGTGTGTGAATGAGTGTGTATGGATGTTTCCCAGTATGGGGTTGCAGCTGGAGTGGTATCCGCTGTGTAAAAAAAAACATATGCTAGATAAGTTGGTAGCTCGTTCCACTGCGGCGACCCCTGATTAATAAAGGGACTAAGCCTAAGGAAAGCCTAAGATTAAGGAAAATGAATTAATGAATGAATGTTCAAAACGAGGCACTCTGAATAAAAATGCCACAAATGACCACAAGGTGGAGCTCCTCCCACTCCTCACACTTAACTGGTTTTAAACATTTATGAATTTTTGCATTCTGTTGAACACAAATGAAGATATTTTGAAGCAGTCTTTAACATCCATGGTAGGAGTAAAAATACTATGGAAGTCAGTGGCTGTTTTTTCCCCTACATTCTTCAGCAAATCTTTCTTTGTGTTCAACAGAAGAAAGGAACTCAAATGTGTTTGGAAAAAGAAAGATGAGTAAAGGACGACAAAAAAATGATACACAAATTCATAGATATCTAACACACACATGTAATGTGAATATGATATATCAACATATATGCAAACCAGAGAATCTCTCTACTCTTCTAACTTACTACATCAATGATTTCAGCTAGGAATGTTAAAAACAAAAAACATCTTTCTAAAAGTAAACTACAAAGTTCTAAAGATTAAACAGAACGACACACAAAGGACTGCACAGCATCAAATGTTTCTGCTGACCACATTCATCAGAATTGTTTGGACAAAACCAAAAGAAATAGGGAGGGAGAAAGAATGAGAAGAGGAGGGTCTTAGAAAAGAATGGATTCTCTGGAGGCCAGCGGGAGGAGGAGAGAGGGAAAGAGTGAGAGGGGAGGGCTGATAACTACATCTGGAAGTTATTTGGAACAAGAGAGGGAGGAAAATAGCTGATAGAAACGATAGAATGCCAAAGAGAACCAGGAATTAGCAATTAAGACTAAGAGAAGAGACTAAAACCCAAACAAATACTCTGATTTTGTTTGTGTTACCAAAAAAAATAAATATATTGGAACTTCAAGAGGATTCCAGAAGATAAATGACAGGAGTCTGAATGAATTATACAACAAAGAAAAAAAGTTTGTGAAGAATTTTGTATCCCACGAAAACTCCAAGACTGATATTTCATCACTTCAAAGAAGGCTTTATGTTTTTTTTGCACCTTATGAAGACTTAACAACTACTAAAAGAACTGGAGGAATCACGTCTGTGATGGGGATGATAATGTCGATGAAGAAATAAAGCAAGATCTCATGAAATTTATCAGAACAAAACAACAAACTGACAATACCGGAAGCTTTGCATTCAGGACTAAGTGAAAACTCAACTCGGGAAGGTTTTTTGAATTGCCTGTCAGTCATTTTATCGGTCTCCATCTAAATCAAGGTAAGGCAACTATTTCTGCATTAAGTTTACGTACATATTTAAATATTACAGATTACAGATATTTGTATATAGTTTATGAATCACTTCACGAATCAGCAGACAAGAGAAAACAATGGCAAATGTTATTCACTTTTCTAAGTTTATGCAAACCTGAGATTTTCTAAACTAGAGGATCGTTTGTGTTTGACATTTAGGTGAGGGAAAAACACTTTGTGAAATAGAAGAGCCAATAAAAATCACACACTTCAAGCTAATGTAATTGATTTCTAAGCGTTTACAAATAAGACTAATCCCAGCAGGCACACAACATCACAAGATGTTAATATTAGGTTAGATTTAGGTCATGACGTCAGGTGACCAAAATTAAATGTCTACATTATTTTGACGTCCAATAACAAAGTCACATTACACATTACACATAACACACCGTGTTGATATCAGGTTGATTTTAGGTTCTGTTGGAAAGTGACCAAAATCCAACGTCTGATAGATGTAATAGTGGTAACGTCCACACAACGTCAAGGTGTAACATAATTAGACGTTGATATTTGGATGATTTTAGGTTGGACACTGGACAATGACGTCAACCTGATATTTCTTTCCTAACAAAATCCAATGTCCCCATGACGTTGGGGTACAACGTCAATATGACATCATGTTGACATCCTGTACCTACAGGGATGGTACAATTAGGTTTCTAAGTGATCTTAACATCCACATTTTAAATCACACACACACACATGGTGCCAATTTCCAGAACTATTACTGGCATTCCAGTGAAATAAGATCATACAAACATATGCAGTCTAACTTTAAGGGGGCTTAAATGTTTACATTTTGACCTATAGTATAATCTGTGGTCACATGAGGCCCACATTCTGTGGTAAAAAGGGGCTAAATAACCCCAACCACTATTATGTTGCCTTGCATTCATGGAAATATGAAGTTGGAGGTGTAATTAAAATGTCAACAGTTTTCTTTCAGCTAGAAGAGTAGGCTACATGACTGCCCTTTTTACAGACAGGGCACATAATGGCTTTAGTTAATGCTATCAGCAGCACAACACAAGGGTGGATCTTCCTGTCTGGAAACAGCACTTCCTCTCTATGCTAACGTTTCAGAAGAGTGTGAAAGTTTACACACGTTAAAAGCACACACAATATGTTTATATATATCGTCATTTGTTGATTTAGTCCTGTTTTCTTTTCTTTCACGCAGAATGTCTGTCTCACGAGGTTGCCTCTGCTGCGTGAAGTACCTCATGTTTGTCTTCAACCTCATCTTTTGGGTTAGTTTTGCTTTACACTTCTGTCGAAGTTTAGTTTGGCAGATTGCAGGACATTCAGCTGACTTTAATCACTTATCAAACCACGTACGAGTGGATGGATAAAACACGACACTGTGCAGTTAGCTTATTATTTCTTTTGGACACAAGTTCAGGACAATAAGATACCCAATACTGAGTAACTAACACAAATACCTCTTCTATTTTCTGTCCGCCATCAAAAATAGTTCTACGAAGTCCAGGATCAGCTGTCAGAAGTAACATTTCTTTCTGAATGAGTGAGAATCCTTTAACTATCTGAATCAGTTTTAACGAATCAATTGAGCAACCTTTCAATGTTTCACCCTGCTGCTTGTCGCCACCTTCAGGTTGTAATCAGTGTTGGTTGTAACTGTGTTTACAGTAATTGAATTACTTGTCATCTAAAAAAAAGTAAAAATGAGGATTTACTCTACTGATAATTTTTGGTAATTTAATTACAGATGTATTTGCCTTAAATACTGTAAATAAATTCAACAGTTCTGAATCCAGTTTAAAGAAACTGAGCAATTTAATTTTTTGTAATTCTTTTTGAATAATTTTACTTTTCAAATAAAAACATTGATCAAGATAATGAACTGAGGCAGAAATTAATTAATGACTATATATAGGGAATATATTTAGAGTAGCAGAATGCTTATACGTACTTAATGTGTATTTTTCTTTCTTTTTAATTTAGATCATTTCTATAATAATTCAATATTATTTAAACTAAGAAAGTTACATTTGTCAGACATTTGCACATGCTTAAGAAACAATAAATAATGTAAGAAACTCATCAATGAGATATTGAAAGATGAGAGATTATTTGTATTAACATTTTTCACTTATTTATTCATTCATTCATTTTCCTTCGGCTTAGTCCTTTTATTCATCAGGGGTCCTCACAGCAGAAGGAACCGACAATTATTTAGTTTATTCAATTCACCTGTACCACATGTCTTTGAACTGTGGGGGAAGCCGGAGCACCCGGAGGAAACCCAAGCCAGCACAGAGAGAGCATGCAAACTCCACACAGAAATGACAACTGGCCCAGCTGGGACTCGAACTAGCAACTTTCTTGTTGTGAGGCTACATCCCTACCCACTGAGCCACCGTGTCATCTCACTTATTTCTGATTTAATTAATTATTAAGTCATAAAACCACGTTTTAGGACATCCTGCCATAATGTAATGTTTAATAAGCTACATGTTGTTACAAAGAAAAAAATGTGGTTTATTTCATATTGATATTGTACAGATCGATGAGATAAACAAGTCAACAATAACTTAAAAGTAATTAAAATCATTTTGCATATTGTAGAATAACTAAAGTTTTTACAACTGCTAATAATCTGTATAAATTTTGCGATGGCAAAACTTCAGACGGCTTATGTTCTACTGCCCCCTTGCATTACCTTACATTTGCAGCTATAGGTGATTGCAAGCGTTTTCATCTGATCCTCTCTCTTAGCTCTTGTAACGTATACGTCTACTTTAAGCAACATCACAGAAGTGATAATCAAAACCATAATGCTGAGCAGCAAGCATGAGAAGTGGTTCAACTAGCAGAAATACAACATAGTTTATCAGCTTAGGATCACTACACGTTTTTTGAAAATATGTTGATTATAGCCTACGATTCCTCTAGATTTAAACAATTGAGTTTTACCATTTTTAAATCCATTCAGCTGATCTCCAGGTCTGGTGGAAGCACTTTTAACTTAGGATGTATTATTGAATCTAATTAGACCATTAGCATCTTGTTTAAAAATAATAATAATAATAAAAGACTTTTGATCATTTAAAGCTTGACACTTCAGCAGCTTCGTTGTACTAAGTCAGACGGAAAATTTAAAAGTTGCTATTTTATAGTTCAATATGACTAAGAACTAGACTTTTATTCCGGCGTAATAATCAACTAATTTTGCTGCCGTACCATGGCTGTAGCAGGAACAATAATAATATGCTGATACTAACTGGCTGGGTGCTGGGGACAAGCCATGTGTATTATCTTTGCATCTGCTGCAGTCATGGTACTGCAGCAAAGTTGTTTGATTATTACGCCGGAATAAGAGTCTAAGAGTTGTAACTTTGTAACTACAGAAGAGATGAGCTAGGAATAGGAAAATGATCGAAACTCATCAGTTATTTTTTTTACAGAGATTGACTCAAAGAATTTAAATGTGGTAATACTCAACTGTTTATCTCTAGGGGAGTTGTAAAACGAGTTAATTAAAAAAAATGTGGTGTTTCTTACCTAATTTTTTTATTATTCACATAATGCTAATTGTAAAAACAGAAATGTATCGACTAATAATAATATATATATATGCGTTGTATAAGTGTAATCTGTTGTCATTTTCAGGTTCTCTGCTATTTTAGCACACTATAGTAAACATTAATGAAGGTGATGCCTAATGTTTTAAATTGTTTTGAATGTAAAAGTCATGCTGTCTATTTGAGCTTATGAAGGTCATGTAGGCCTACACATGCCCTTTAGATTGACCTAGCTTCTAATAACACTGAGACGAAGTCCCTGATATGAGCATGATGAACTGTTATTTTCCTTTACCTGTGTTGTTTGTGCAGTTAGGAGGATGTGGTTTATTTGGTGTTGGAGTTTGGCTCGCCTTCACACAATCAGAGTTTTCATCTCTACCACTGTCCTTCCCTTCACTCTCTGCTGCCAACCTACTGCTCATTGCTGGGGGCGTTACCATGGTGACAGGATTTCTGGGATGCCTCGGTGCTCTAAAAGAGCAAAAGTGTCTGTTGTTGACGGTACGGTACCTGCATGCTTACTGACAACAGCAAAACAGAGAAAACATTTAAGTATCATCTTCATCTTAGATGTTTGTGATTCTAAAGGATCCTGTAACACTGAAGACTAGAGTAATGGTGCTGAATTCAACACTTTTATGACAATAAAAAATTACAATTTAGGCCACATGTAACAGTTTTCACTATATTACTGTATACTGTATTTCCCTATTTTCAAAAACATTTACTCCAGGATTTTAATATGGTACATTAATTTGTAAAATTCAAAAATTAAAAATTATACCAACTTATTATTTGTTTGGACAGAAGGATGTTCATCAAGGATCATCTTTCTTTTTTATGTTTAGGATTTTACGATCATGTGACACTGAAAACTAGAGAAATGGCTGCTATTTTTTTTAAAGGAATTAATAACATTTACACACACACACACACACACACACACACACACACACACACACACACACACACACACACACACACACACACAGGTATACCTTACTTGTACCTTACTTGTACTTGGACCCCCTTTTGTCTTCAGGACTGCCTCAGTCCTTTGTAGCATAGATTCAACAAAGTACTGGAAATATTTCTTGTCCTCTTGTCCATATTGACATGATAGCATCCCGCAGTTGCTGCAGATTTGTTGGCTGCACATCCATGGTGTGAATCTTCTGTTCCACCACATCCCAAAATGCTCTATTGGATTGAGATCTGGTGATTGTGGAGGCCATTTGAGTACAGTGAACTCATTGTTATGTTCAAGAAACCAGTCTGAGATGATTCACGCTTCATAACATGGCACGTTTTTCTGCTGGAAGTAGCCAACAGAAGATGGGTACACTGTGATCATAAAGGGATGGACATGGTCAGCAACAATACTCGGGTAGGCTGTGGCAATGATACAATGCTTAATTGGTACTAACGGGCCCAAAGTGTGCCAAGAAAATTTCCCCCACACCATTACACCACCACCACCAACCTGAACCATTAAAACAAAACAGGATGGATCCATGCTTTCATGTTGTTGATGCCAAATTCTAACCCGACCATCCGAACGTCACAGCAGAAATCGAGACACATCCGACCAGGAAACTTTTTCCAATCTTCTATTGTCCAGTTTTGGTGAGCCTGTGCGAATTGTAGCCTCAGTTTCCGGTTCTTAGCTGACAGGAGTGGCACCCGGTGTGGTCTTCTGCTGCTGTAGCCCATCTGACTCAAGGTTGGACGTGTTGTGCGTTTAGAGATGCTCTTCTGCCTCAGTTGTAACAAGTGGTTATTTAAATTAATGTTGTCTTTCTATCAGCTGGAACCAGTCTGGCCATTCTCCTTTGACCTCTGGCATCAACAATGCATTTCCACCCACAGAACTGCTGCTCACTGGATATTTTCTCTTTCAGATCATTCTCTGTAAACCCTAGAGATGGTTGTGCATGAATATACCAGTAGATCAGCAGTTTCTGAAATACTCAGACCAGCCCGTCTGGCACCATGCGTGATGCAATTTGAGCTGCAGCAGATTGCCTTGACCTTGTCTACATGCCTAAATGCATTGAGTTGCTGCCATGTGATTGGCTGATTAGACATTTGCGTTATCGAGCAGTTGACCAGGTGTACCTAATAAAGTAACTAGTGAGTGTAAATGAAGCAGAAAATGTTTATTTGAAATTGTAAGTTAAAGGCAGCTTAGAGGAGCATGTGAGTTTTTTCAGAATTATTGACAAAGTTTTGAATGGTTTGTATTTCTTTAATTATTAAAAGCACATTTTTTCTCTTTATTTATTTGCGTTAATAAATAGGGACATTGATTTAAGTTCCCAGCTCTGATGTTCCTCTTTGTGAAATTATTAATCAACATAAAGGAGAGCCAATCATGGTGTTAGCAGAGTTCTGAACATTTATTGTATTTTTCCATTAAAAAAATTTATGTAATTTTTTTTTCAAACTTAAATCTAAACGTTTATTGGATCTTGGTAAATGTGCACAGAATAACACTAAGATCTCTTGTGAAACTTTAGTGAAAAAACACCAAAATTGTAAATCTTCAAATATTCTGCTGATTCTTGTTGCTGCCGAGTGAAGAACTGTGATTTTCTTCTTATGCCTGTCAGAACCCACCATGTCTATTTTAAAAACTCCTTTCATTCATGTGTGCTAATAGTAAATTTCTTGTTCTTTCAGTTTTTTGTGATCCTCTTGATTCTAGTCCTGACAGAAGTTGTGCTGATTTTGGTTTTGAGTTTATATCACGAAGAGGTAAGAGACAAGCGTCTAAACCCTGGAAACATTTCAGCCTTTCCTGTCAGGAAACACTTTGCCTCTACTTCCTGTTTATCCGCTTCTCTCTCTGTTTTGTCCATTTAGCTGGACAAAAAAGCCAAGGATGACCTAAGAGAAGGAATGAAAGGCTACAGCAAAAATGACGGACTGCGGAAATCCTGGGATAACATGCAGATGATTGTGAGTTGAATGTATAGTAGTTGTGTAACCGAAGGGCCGCCGATTCAAAGTGAATCATATTCTGTTTCATTCAGTTCAAGTGCTGTGGCGTGAGCAACCACACCGACTGGCACAACAAAACAACCGATGGCAAACTCCCTGGGTCCTGCTGCAGTAACGATCCTTCAAGCTGTCGTCACTGGGAAGAGGTCAGAACATTTTTGGGGTTGTGGGGTCAACTAAGTACCACACATTCCTCAATAACCCCAAACTGCTGGTAACTGCAAACACATGCTTTAATATAAAATGAAAGCCAGAACAAACCCTGCAACATGTTAATGCTCTGTTATATGCAGAATTTTATATATGAATTTCCTAACATATTCTATCATCATTATTTTAACATTTTTATGCTTTAGTCTGAGTAACAGATTAGCATGTAAGTTTTTTTTTTTTTTTTTTTTATAAAGGATCACGTTACACTGAAATATATTCAAAAACTCAGGGGCAGATTTAATGATTTGGGGGCCCTAAGCAATTCCAGCCAATTGGGCCCAAAAGTCTTAAAATGCACCTTTTTTGATGTCTCCCCACCCCCCCCCCCCCTCTTCTTCTTCTCAATTTCCTTTTCTACATTTTATCTTAATGCTAAATAGAGAAGACATGTAAAGCATCTTGTAAAACTTTTGAATTGTTTGTTTTCTTAAAATTAATTCACAATTCAAAATAATAAATGAACTGTTTCGTTTTTTCGTCTTTACTGATTTGACTGCTGGACTGCTCTATGATTAAGGGCGGGGGACACATTTGCGCAGATGTAATAATTACGTCTAAATAAAATAATTTTATACCCTCACCAAACAAAATATGATCGAAAATGAAGTTATATATAATTAATATATATAATTTATACTTCTAGGTATTTATTTGGGGGCCGTCAGATTTACTGGGGGCCCAATCAGCTGCTTGCTTATTGGTTAAATCCGCCCCTGCATGATTTAGTTGAAGTCAAAATTATTTTTTAAATATTTCCCAAATGATGTTTAAAAGAGCAAGGAAATTTTCACAGTATGTCTGATAATATTTTTTCTTTTGGAGAAAGTCTTATTTGTTTTATTTCAGCTAAAGTAAAAGCAGTTTTAAATTTTTAAAACTCGTTTTAAGGCCAATATTATTACTGTCATCATGACAAAGATAAAATAAATCAGTTTTTAGAGATGAGCTATAAAAACTAATATGTTTGGAAATGTGTTTAGATAATCTTCTCTCCGTTAAACAGAAATTGTGAAAAAAAAAAAATAAACAAACGAGGCTAATAATTCAGGGGGCTAATAGTTCTGACTTTAAGTGTATGTTATATGAAAGTTGATTATAAGCTTGATGTCTGGTTTGTTAGGATATTATAAGATAGATTTGTTCAGGATTGATAGGATAAAATCTGTCTGAGATGCAACTATTCGAAAATCTGGAAATTGAAATTTAAAAATAATCAAAATACTGAGTAAATTACATTTATATTTGTCAAAATTCTTAGCAATGCACATTAATATTCAAAAGCCTAAATGTTTTGGTGCAATTACATTAAAAAACTTACTAAATATATAACATATAACATGATATTTACTTAATGTTCTAATGATTTTGGCATAAAAGTAAAAACCAACAACTATGACCTATACAATCTATTTTGGATTTATTGTTAATTTCATTTATATCCAATTTTGTGATCACTGACTACATTGTGTTTTTCCTTTTAAACATATCACAGCCATGCTATGAGAAAGCCAAGCAGTGGCTCCTGACTAACATCACCTCAGTGCTTGGTTTTGGAGTTTGCATTGGAATCGTCCAGGTATTTACAATCTCTAGTTTCTTGCATAATCTGATTTAAAAATGCACACAGACTATAATGCAACTGCGTTTTCTGCCTCCAGCTTCTTGCTTTGGTGTTCTCCATGCTGATGTACTGCCAGATCCTCAGAGCAGAAAAATACATGGACTGACCCCTGCTGATGAAAAAAATCAATTCTGAATGTTTAAGTGGACTTACTAGAGAACTGGCCTATTAGAGAAACTGGGCAAGATATGCACATTAACATAAGTTAGAGTGCTGCACTTAGGAAAATGAACCTTTACCAAAAAAAAAAGAGAGGCTAAAGAATTTATTTGTACTAATGAAGATCACATGAACATAAATTGAATGTATACTTTAGGTAGAAAATGAGGTAAATCCTAGTATTATTGCACTCTTTGTTAAATACCCTTTGTAACTGCTCACAGTGAACTTGCAATCAAAGTAAATTTCCAGTACATGTTTAAAATATGATGATTTGTTATATTAAACCCGTTACATGTATATTATTAACCCCCCTGTGGAATTTTTTTTTTTTTTTAATATTTCCCTAAAGTGCTGTTTAACGGAGAGGAGATTTAGCACATTTTTAAACATGATAGCTTTAATATGTAATTTCGGTCACACTTTATTTTGATAGTCCATATGTTGAATTTTAGTTACATTGCATCTACATGTCAACTAATTCTCATTAGATTATAAGTAGACTGTTAGGGTTGGGGTAAGGGGTAGTGTAAGTTGACATGTACTTGCAAAGTTTCTTATAGTCAGTTAAATGTCTGTTGAAGGAGCAGTATCAACAGATACTAAGCAGACTGTCTACTAATACTCAAGTGGACCATCAAAATAAAGTGTTACCGCAATTTATAATCAGTAATTTCTTTTGTCTTTACCATGGTGCTAAATATTTTTTAAAATACTAGAATTCAGCTTAAAGTGCAATTTAAAATTTAAAACTATGTTAACTAGGCAAGTTAGGATATTGAGGCAAGTTACCTGATAACCATGGTTTTGTCCTGTAGACCAGGGGTTCCCAAATATTTCAGCCCACGACCCCCAAAATAACAATTGCAGTGACTCGTGACCCCTATTATTCTCGGAGGTGGGTATACTGTAAATATACACTGTACTGTTTCACACACAACAATAGGCTTACAAATATGAGCATATAAAAATGCAACAGTCTGACAAACATATCATTATTAATTTTTTCAATCATTGATTTTTAACCACTTTTATGGGGCTGGGTCGAGGGGGCAGCAGTCTTGGGATAGAACCCCAGACTTCCCTCCCCCCAGACAATTCCTCCGGGGAATCCCAAGGCTTTCCCAGGCCAGCCGAGAGACATTTACATTTAAATTTAGTCATTTAGCAGACACTTTTATCTAAAGCGACTTACAAATGAGGACAAGGAAGCAATTTACACAACTATAAGAGCAACAATGAATAAGTGTAGGCAAGTTTCAGGTATGTAAAGTGTAAGAAGCAAAACATTAGTAATATATATATGTTTTTTTTGTAGTACAGTTAGCGGTGGAGTCGGAAAGGCAATTGCAGAGTAGGAAGGAAAGTGGAGACTAAAAAGTTAGTGAGTTTTTAGTCGTTTCTTGAAGACAGCGAGTTACTCTGCCGTTCTGATGCAGTTAGGGAGTTCATTCCACCAACTGGGCAGATTGAATAAGAGAGTTCGGGAAAGTGATTTCTTTCCTCTTTGGGATGGAACCACGAGGCAACGTTCATTCACAGAATGCAAGTTTCTGGAGGGTACATAAATCTGCAGAAGTGAGAGCAGATAAGAAATAGCAAAGCCAAAAATCGCTTTGTAGGCAAACATCAGAGCTTTAAATTTGATGCGAGCAGCAACTGGCAGCCAGTGCAAACGGATGAGTAGCGGAGTGACATGTGCTCTTTTAGGTTCATTAAAGACCACTTGTGCTGCTGCATTCTGAAGCATCTGAAGAGGTTTGATAGAGTTAGCTGGAAGCCCGGCTAGTAGAGAGTTGCAATAGTCCAGTATGGAGAGAACAAGAGCTTGAACAAGGAGTTGAGCTGCATGTTCAGATAGGAAGGGTCGGACCTTTCTGATGTTATAGAGTGCGAATCTGCAAGATCGAGCAGTTCTGGAAATGTGGTCAGAGAAGTTTATTCGTTCATCAATCGCTACTCCAAGGCTTTTCACCATTTTGGATGCGGTAATGATTGTCCCATCCATCTGGATTGAAAAGTTATGACATAGTTCCTCCAGCGTGTCCGTGGTCTTTCCTGAGGCCTGCTACCGGTGGGACATGCCTGGAACACCTCCCTAGGTAGGCGTCCAGGAGGCATCTAAAACAGATGCCCAAGCCACCTCAGCTGACTTCTCTCGATGTGAACGAGCAGCGGCTCTACTTTGAGCTTCTCCCGGGTTAAGAGCTACTCACCCTACCCATAAGGGTACGCCCTGCCACCCTGCGAAGGAAAGTCATTTCGGCCGCTTGTATTCAAGATCTTGTCCTTTCAGTAATGACCCAAAGCTAATCACCATAGATGAGAGTAGAAATGTAGATTGACTGGTAAATCGAGAGCTTTGCCTTTAGGCTCAGCTCCATCTTTACCACAACGGACCGATACATCCACCACATTACTGCTGCCACTGCACCAGTCTCTGCCTGTCAATCTCACGTTCCATCCTTCCTTCGTGAACAAAACCCCAAGATACTTGAACTCCTCCAACTGGGGTAAGGACTTTCCTCCAACCTAGGGTTGGCAAACCCCCTTTTCTGGTGGAGCACCATGGCCTTAGAAATGGAGTTGCTTATTCTCATCCCAGCCGCTTCACACTCGTAAACCGCTCCAGTGCATGCTGAAGGTCCATGTTCATTGAATCCAACAGAACAACATCATCTGCGAATAACAGAGATTAAATCCTGAGGTCCCCGAACTGGACCCCCTCCAGCCCAAGGCTGCACTTTAAATTTTTTTGTAATTTATTCATTTGTTTAATTTAATATTAACTTCACCTAATGAGACTGGTGGGCACAATGTTTCCAGCACAATTCTTGGTTTAATTTTGGAGACCACCATTTGGAGATCATCGTCCATGTTCAGTTGTGGCCTGTATTTATTTTTAATGTATTTGAGTGGAATAAAGATGTCAGAAAGTTTAACCTTGTGCCATAAAATCAATCTACTGCAGCTGATAATTCTAATTGTTTAATAATATTTATTTGAATTTTGGAAATCACCAATCGACCCCGACATTGTCCCGCGACCTTTCTTAAGAGGGCTAATAATTTGACCTTAAAATAGCTTAAAAATAATTTAAATCTGCTTTCATGGCAAAAAATAAATATTTCTGAAGGGGGCAAATATTATTAACCTTAAAAATGTTTTAAAAGTCGACGCCTAATAGCCTAGTGGTTAAGTGTGCCTACAAATACAGAGTATATTCAGGAATTCTAAAGGTAATCTCAATACCCTATTTTAAAGACTTTCTCAGAATATTTTAGGACCTCATCGCCACTTATCAAAGGTATAAAACCTTCAACTTAATATACAGTTGTTAATAAACAGTTGTAGTTAAATAAATCAATAGAGCACAACCATGGACCAAAACCCAGATGGGCTCGGAAGAAACAATTGGTTGTTTTCAGTGACAGGCTGCCTTTAGGCACCGATTAAACTCGTCTTTCTCCAACCAGGAGTACGCAAACTTATATTTTCCCATTTTGCTGTCTGTTTTGCTCTATGGTTTCAATACACCCAGACGGAGGAGCTTGGCCAGATGCTCAGGGCGACCCGTGTTCAATTCCTGGCTTGAGGTCCTATGCCCATCCTTCCCCTTTCTGCTTCCAATTTTTACCTGTCTGTCCTCCACTATCCTATCCAAATAAAAGGTGAAAAAAATTATTATAAAATTGTTTAAAAAAATATATATTTTAAAGTCCATTTATTCCAGTCAAACTAAAAAAAATGTTTCCCAGAAAGATGAAAATATTATAAGAAATACTGAATTACGAAATATTGAAAATGTCATTGGTCGGTAAAACATCACCTGGGAAATAAAAGAATTTTAAAAATTGACAGGAGGGCAATTAATTTGGACTTTAACTGTATATACTGTCTGATAAGATTATTACAACAAATAAGAAAGCAACACAACAGTGGATGATTGCCATCATGTATTTTGGTATAAAACGGCACATTAAAAAAATTAAAAACATCTAAAATACAAAAGAATAAATAGATTAGCAGATCATGATCAAGTAGTGTCATTTCTGAAGTTTGCTGGCTCGTATGTTCGCCTCACAGAGGTCATGCTACATGATCCAGAGTTCATAATAAAGGGTCAGTTCCTGAGGTCAATCATACTCCAGATGAGACTGATTGATCGCACTGTCATCTAATTGTGCAATGTTCTCCTGGAAAAGAAAACACGTAAAAAAAACTGTTAACTTGACAACCCTGCCCCCGTCTGGAGGAAACTTGCAAGTGCAAAACACAGAAAGCTTCAAGTAGACAGTTAAAATGTGCTCACCCATCCTCCATGACTCCGTAGCCAAGGTGCAAAGCTCTCCATGTAACGTTCAGCATATACTGTCAGACGATGAGCACCGGTGGCAGTGACGACCCGTCGAGACGCTTCCATTGTGATGGCCATACGCCTTAGTGTTGGACTGACCGGCGGCGGGACGTGAGGGTCTTCGCTCTGACTGGCATACATGTCCAGCAGCTTGGCAAATGATGGGTAGGAGAGGCGCGTCAGGGTGGACCGCAGGAAAGGGTTGTCATTTATCTAAAATTAAACAACAGTTTAGAAAGATAAACAATGATTATCAAGGGTAAACACAACATAGAAATTAAAGACAAGTGATTTTCATGACTATAAAAATTCATAAACACAGAATTAATACATTTATTATATATTTTCTGATAATAAGGTGATAATAAGAAATGGTTCAACCCCAAAAATAAATATTTACAATAAATTTACTTGCTCTTAAGTGTTTCCAAAACCTTTTGAGTTTGCTGTTGGTTTCCATAAGAAGAAAAAAATGCTATGGAGGTCAATAGTTTCTAACACTCTTCAAACTATCTTCTTTTGTGTTCGACAGAAGAAAAAACAACAACAGTGGTTTGTAGACACTTAAAGGCACATTATTAGATTAGATTTGGCTTTATTGTTATTACACATGTAAAAGTACGAGGCAATGAAATGCAGTTTAGGTCTAACTAGGAGCGCAATAGGAGCAAGTTATAAAGTACAATTATAGAAACTATGGTGATATTAACAGATGAATGTACTGTGAACATCATATACAGGTTGTATTAACTATGATCAGAGATTTACAATAGATGAATACATGTACAGGTTGCTAGATAGATATGAACATAATGACAAATGTATATGTGCAGTGGTTATGTACAGTTCAAGATGAATTAGAGTAACAGAGTAAAATGAATATGTACAAAAGAATGTAAGACTGTTTTCATGAAAAAATTAGTTACTGACTTTTGCTGATTTATCTACGTAA